GACAGTGGCAGAATAAATTCAACAATACCTTTGTTTCATCACAAAACCTGAGAGCAACATATGACCGGTGAATTCCACAAAGCATATTGCATGTAACAAACAGTTACATGACCTACAGCATGGTCAAGCTAGTTAATGTTTCCGACATTTTCGGACCACTAAACAACTATTGATTTAAAACCACTGAGAGTTACCGCAGGTCGCAAAGAAAACAGGCGCTGCCTCCACTATTCCAGCACCATTTCAACTTCAACATTTCAACATCATCTAATCACCTATGCTTAGTCTAATACAGTGACAACTAAAAGATACCAAAAACAATTTAGTCCAGTCAACGTAAGCTAAATATGATGTGGCTGTCCATGGTTCTGATTTCCTTATGTCTGTCCATGGTCCCGAGTGGCGCAGTGGTCTAAGGCACTGCATCGCAGTGCTAGCTGTGCCACTAGAGATCCTGGTTCGAATCCAGGCTCTGCTGTAGCCGGCCGCAACCGGGAGACCAATGGGGCGGCGCACAATTGGCCCAGCGTCGTCCAGGGTAGGGGAGGGAATGGCCGGCAGGGAGGTAGCTCAGTTGATAGAGCATGGCGTTTGCAACGCCAGGGTTGTGGGTTCGATTCCTACGGGGGGCCAGTATGAAAATAAAAAAGAATAATGTATGCACTAACTGTAAGTCGCTCTGGATAAGAGCGTCTGCTAAATGACGTAAATGTAAATGTTCTGATTTCTCTGTGTGTGTGTGTGTGCGTGCGTGCGTTTGTGCAAATAGAGAAAACATGTTGACTCGGTCTATCACTCTGTCATACAGTACAGCTTTTATTTTTTGTTGTCCTAGGCTACCTGGCTAAAATGCTTGCTCGCTAGCCTAACTTCCATTCATGGGCAACGTTAGCTAGTTAACATTAGCCTTCTACATCTAGCTGCATATTGAACTTACATCCTCTCAGGCCAGGGGCACAATGTAATGGTTGGTTCAAAATCGCCGTTATAATCATTGGCCAGTACGGAGAACTAAGTAAAACCAAGTCCAAATCTCCATCCATGGCTAATTTAGGTAAGGGCCAATGTTAGCCACCGGAAGACAACAACCCAATGAGATGCAACAATTCAAGTTGTTTCTCAATTACCTATGCTCTCAATGCGATTTGATAGGAGTGAAGCCAAATCCAAACTGGCTTCCCTTGGCACTTTCTTTTGGTCCGCCAGGACCATTCACAGATGACCTCACAAGGTTTAGCTCAAGAGCTGATTGGCTATTATTTTATACTTTTTTTTTTTATCAAGGGAGGCCAAATGCTCGCTGGCTTCCCTTTCATTCAATAGACCTTTTTCCAGTACACGACACACTGACGTCACACACACACAGATGCGTGTGACTCTTGGCTGCAGTAAGAAAGCCATCGCCATCTGCGCCCATTCAACATATCCTAGATTCATTACTTCTAAACAAAATCACTTTTGGGATTCTCATACGCTTACCCTCTGTTTTTGATTATTGCTTGAACAGTCGCTAAGATTATATTTGGTTGTGATCTTAGCAAAATAACTATTTTGGATGCAGTAGTTGTTAGCTAGAATGCTAACGATTATTGACATAGGCTGTAGCAAAAGCTAGCCAAAGAGCCATTTTACTGGTTGAAGTGTTGTTTAATTATAATGCAGTTGATTTGCGATGATGACGCAAACATTATATTAAGCAGGACATTCATACCAGCCTTAAAATCCAATTATAAACCAAAAGTAGCGTGAAATGCACTCATAAGCAACATGTAAATAGAGGCTTATTTTGCTGGCGTTCTATAAGAACTCCCCCTTGTTCTGCCACCAACTTGCGTGCGGCAATGTTTGCAAACACAGAAAGGGGTCTATGCTATGGGCGGCAACAAAGTCATACGCCTTGATCACACCAACAGTGCCGTTTACGTTTTGGTACGCCAGAAGTACAGGACATTCATTTCCAATGGAACGCTGTGTTTGCCTTACAGCATTGCATAGCACTGCGTGCTGCGTGGTGCATACATTGGATTTATCGAACGTATGCATCAAATTGTATGCGTTGACTGCTTGGCAGAAATGGTAGCAGAAGGTGAATGTTGAACTTTTGTTGTACACATGTCCAGATGATGCTACATACCATTTTGCGCAATGACGCTGTCGGTGTGATCGAGGCAGGTACTCTTTTGGACCAGACAGCATTAGCTAGATGGCCTACACATACAGAGACGGAGAGGCGCTCTTTCGCCCTCTTGGATGCTTTCTTCGGTGAGATATATTCAGCCAATTGCAAATTGAGACATGTTTTTTCTTTTTTTCTTTTCTTGGTACAATTCTTTGGGGAAACCTGGCTTCCCTTGGCATCCTTGAATACACATCACTGGTTTTTATTTGTGAAATAGTGTTTACCCTTTTTTATTTTGTTAATTATCTGAGTTCTAATCACGCCTACCTCTGCGAACGAGTGGAATCATGAATGATTTAATGTATGCTCGATTTGTTCGCCTACTCCCCCTGGATTTGCCTTGTTTAGCAGCACATTCATTCACCACTCTGTCCAAACGGACAGGTGAAACAAACTACCTCAGCCCAGACCTACAGTGGCAAGTAGCAGAGAGACGCCGCTGACAGTGGGAATTATTTTAACATCCCTTTTAACAACCCCCCCCCCCCCCCCCTGACTCTTGGAGAATGAGTGTACAACTGGTAAATAGTCGCTGATATTTCAGTCAGATGTCTAGCTAGCTAGGTAGCTCAAAGGGCTCTGGCTATTAACCAGGTAGCTACCTATAACTAAGCTAGCTATATTCAAAAGATGGGCTACTATAAGTTCTCATAACAAAATACATTTTCTTTACAGAGAGTAGTGAGACGCATTGGTGAGTCAGGCTGCAGCGAAGGAGGTAAAGGAGATGCACAGAGAGAGGAAGCATTGAAAAAAAAAAACAGGGAGAGAGGTTAGTCGTACAGTGGTTCCCAAACTTGGGGTCCGGGACCCATGAGGGGTCCCCTAAAATGTAAATAGGGTCCACTGAGAGTCTTTAATCTTATCAAACACATACATAACTGGTTTCTCTTCAAATGGGTATAGAACACAACATTTTAGAGTCAACTAAGCGCCTTTTACACTGTCAGAATTCACTTTCATATCATTATGGGTTGGGACAGCCTGTGGGACCAAAAATGTTGTGAAATATAAAGACAATTTTATTATAATATTATGTACACTGAACAAAAATAGAAATGCAACAATTTCAAAGATATTACTGAGTTACAGTTCATATAAGGAAATCAGTCAACATCAACAGAACTGAATCACCACTCATGTATAATAGTAAATAAGTAGTGAAACACGTATTATTGAGGAGAACTTGTCAGGTAGTGATGAATACTAAGTTATGTTATTTTTTAGGTTGTGGCGATACACTGCCATCTGGTGGCGACTAGAAACAATTGCATAATAGGAACTATTACAAATTGATGGTCCTTGAAAATAAATATTACTGCTTGAAAAAGTACTTGAAAGTCCTTGAATTTGACTTGCCTCCATCTGTACGAACCCTGTTGCTCATACCCAGTGCTGTGTGCGTGTCGATGGCATGTCTGATTCAACTCATTTATTATAAGGTTATGCAGCAAGATTGCTTAAGAATTCATCCCATTTGTTGAATTGCTAACTCATATCGCTAACTGGTGTTAGAAATCTGTGTCATAGTGACACTAATACCAATGTGAACCCCCCCCCCCCCCCCCCCCCCAAAAAAAAAGTCTTAAGATTTCTACCTCGGGCACCCCCAAGAGTCAATGCGTAATTGGATCCCTGGCTCATTTTAGTATTGTCATTTAGTATTGCCATTTAGTATTGCCATTTAGTATTGCCATTTAGTATTATCCATTTAGTATTGCCATTTAGTATTGCCATTTAGTATTGCCATTTAGTATTGCCATTTAGTATTGCCATTTAGTATTATCCATTTAGTATTGCCATTTAGTATTGCCATTTAGTATTGCCATTTAGTATTGCCATTTAGTATTGCCATTTAGTATTGCCATTTAGTATTAGCCATTTAGTATTGCCATTTAGTATTATCCATTTAGTATTAGCCATGTAGTATTGTCCATTTAGTATTGTCCATTTAGTATTGTCATTTAGTATTGTCCATTTTAGTATTGTCCATTTAGTATTGTCATTTAGTATTGTCGTTGTTTCTGTCTGACTAGGTTTTGTTTCATCTTCCCTCTGTAGGTCTTAATCCTCAACTCTAAGAAGAGTATGAATGTTGGGATCTTTCTGAAGCAGTTCAAGAGGTAAAGAGGGGATAGTGGTGGGAAGGTATGGACCCGGGAGAACAAGGGCCAGTGGTGGGAAGGTATGGACCCGGGAGAACCAGGGCCAGGGGTGGGAAGGTATGGACCCGGGAGAACCAGGGCCAGGGGTGGGAAGGTATGGACCCGGGAGAACAAGGGCCAGGGGTGGGAAGGTATGGACCCGGGAGAACAAGGGCCAGTGGTGGGAAGGTATGGACCCGGGAGAACAAGGGCCAGGGGTGGGAAGGTATGGACCCGGGAGAACCAGGGCCAGGGGAGGGGTGGGAAGGTATGGACCCCGGGAGAACAAGGGCCAGGGGTGGAAGGTATGGACCCCGGGAGAACAAGGGGCCAGGGGTGGGAAGGTATGGACCCGGGAGAACAAGGGCCAGGGGTGGGAAGGTATGGACCCGGGAGAACAAGGGTGGGGTGGGAAGGTATGGACCCGGGAGAACCAGGGCCAGGGGTGGGAAGGTATGGACCCGGGAGAACCAGGGCCAGGGGTGTGAAGGTATGGACCCGGGAGAACAAGGGCCCAGGGGTGGGAAGGTATGGACCCGGGGAACAAGGGCCAGGGGTGGGAAGGTATGGACCCGGGAGAACAAGGGCCAGGGTGGGAAGGTATGGACCCGGGAGAACCAGGGCCAGGGGTGGGAAAGGTATGGACCCTGAGAACAAGGGCCAGGGGTGGGGAAGGTATGGACCCGGGAGAACAAGGGCCAGTGGTGGGGTGGGAAGGTATGGTGGACCCCGGGAGAACCGGCAGGGGCAGTGGTGGGAAGGTATGGACCCGGGAGAACAAGGGCCAGTGGTGGGGTGGGAAGGTATGGACCCGGGAGAACCAGGGCCAGGGGTGGGAAGGTATGGACCCGGGAGAACAAGGGCCAGGGGTGGGAAGGTATGGACCCGGGAGAACCAGGGCCAGGGGTGGGAAGGTATGGACCCGGGAGAACAAGGGCCAGGGGTGGGAAGGTATGGACCCGGGAGAACCAGGGCCAGGGGTGGGAAGGTATGGACCCGGGAGAACAAGGGCCAGGGGTGGGAAGGTATGGACCCGGGAGAACAAGGGCCAGTGGTGGGAAGGTATGGACCCGGGAGAACAAGGGCCAGTGGTGGGAAGGTATGGAAGTATACTGAACAAAATATAAACGCAACATGTAAAGTGTTGGTCCCATGTTTCATGAGCTGAAATAAAAGATCCCAGAAATTTTCCATACGCACTAAAAAAGCTTATTTCTCTCATATGTTGTGCACAAATTCGTTTACATCCCTGTTAGCGAGCATTTCTCTTCTGCAAAGATAGTACATCCACCTGACAGGTGTGGCATATCAAGAAGCTGATTAAACAGCATGATCACTACATAGGTGCACCTTGTGCTGGGGGACAATAAAATGCCACTCTAGAATGTGCAGGTTTGTCACACAACACAATGCCACAGATGTCTCAAGTTTTGAGGGAGTGGGCAATTGTCATGCTGACTGCAGGAATGTCCACCAGAGCTGTTGCCAGAGAATGGAATGTTCATTTCATTTCTCTACCATAAGCCAACGTCGTTTTAGAGAATTTGGCAGTATGTCCAACCGACCTCACAACCGCCGACCACGTGTAACCACGCCAGCCCAGGACCTCCACATTACATTTACATTTTACATTTTAGTCATTTAGCAGACGCTCTTAACCAGAGCGACTTACAGGAGCAATTAGGGTTAAGTGCCTTGCTCAAGGGCACATTAACGTCATTTAGCAGACGCTCTTAGCCAGAGCGACTCACAAATTGGTGCGTTCACCCTATAGCCAGTGGGATAACCACTTTACAATTTGGGGGGGGGGGGGGGGGGGTTAGAAGGAATACTTTAGCCTATCCCAGGTATTCCTTAAAGAGGTGGGGTTTCAAATGTCTCCGGAAGGTGGTGAGTGACTCCGCTGTCCTGGCGTCGTGAGGGAGCTTGTTCCACCATTGGGGTGCCAGAGCAGCGAACAGTTTTGACTGGGCTGAGGGGGAGCTGTGCTTCCGCAGAGGAAGGGGAGCCAGCAGGCCAGAGGTGGATGAACGCAATGTCCTCGTTTGGGTGTAGGGACTGATCAGAGCCTGAAGGTACAGGGGTGCCGTTCCCCTCACTGCTCCAAAGGCAAGCACCATGGTCTTGTAGCGGATGCGAGCTTCAATTGGAAGCCAGTGGAGTGTGCGGAGGAGGGGGGTGACGTGAGAGAACTTGGGAAGGTTGAACACCAGACGGGCTGCGGCATTCTGGATGAGTTGTAGGGGTTTAATGGCACAGGCAGGGAGCCCAGCCAACAGCGAGTTGCAGTAGTCCAGACGGGAGATGACAAGTGCCTGGACCAGGACCTGCGCCGCTTCCTGTGTAAGGCAGGGTCGCACTCTCCGAATGTTGTAGAGCATGAACCTGCAGGAGCGGGTCACCGCCTTGATGTTGGCGGAGAACGACAGGGTGTTGTCCAGGGTCACGCCTAGGCTCTTCGCACTCTGGGAGGAGGACACAGCGGAGTTGTCTACCGTGATGGCGAGATCATGGAACGGGCAGTCCTTCCCGGGGAGGAAGAGCAGCTCCGTCTTGCCAGGGTTCAGCTTGAGGTGGTGATCCGTCATCCATACTGATATGTCTGCCAGACATGCAGAGATGCGATTCGCCACCTGGTGATCAGAAGGGGGAAAGGAGAAGATTAGTTGTGTATCGTCAGCGTAGCAATGATAGGAAAGGCCATGTGAGGATATGACAGAGCCAAGTGACTTGGTGTATAGGGAGAAAAGGAGAGGGCCCAAAACCGATCCCTGGGGGACACCAGTGGTGAGAGCACGTGGTTGCGGAGACAGCTTCCCGCCACGCCACTTGGTAGGAGCGACCGGTCAGGTAGGACGCAATCCAGGAGTGAGCCGCGCCGGAGATGCCCATTTCGGAGAGGGTGGAGAGGAGGATCTGATGGTTCACAGTATCAAAGGCAGCAGACAGATCTAGAAGGACAAGAGCAGAGGAGAGAGAGTTAGCTTTAGCAGTGCGGAGAGTCTCTGTGACACAGAGAAGAGCAGTCTCAGTTGAATGACCAGTCCTGAAACCTGATTGGTTTGGATCAAGAAGGTCATTCTGAGAGAGATAGCAAGAGAGTTGGCTAAAGACGGCACGCTCAATAGTTTTGGAAAGAAAAGAAAGAAGGGATACTGGTCTGTAGTTGTTGACATCAGTGGGGGTCGAGTGTTGGTTTTTTGAGAAGGGGAGTAACTCTCGCTCTCTTGAAGACGGAAGGGACATGGCCAGCGGTCAAGGATGAGTTGATCAGCGAGGTGAGGTAGGGGAGAAGGTCACCGGAGATGGTCTGGAGAAGGGAGGAGGGGATGGGGTCAAGCGGGCAGGTTGTTGGGGCGGCCTGCAGTCACAAGTCGCAGGATCTTATCTGGAGAGAGAGGGGAGAAAGAAGTCAAAGCATAGGGTAGGGCAGTGTGAGCAGGACCAGCAGTGTCATTAGGCTTAACAAACAAGGATCGGATGTCGTCAACCTTCTTTTCAAAGTGGTTGACGAAGTCATCCACAGAGAGAGAGGAGGGGGGGGAGGGGGGGGGGGAGGATTCAGGAGGGAGGAAAATGTGGCAAAGAGCTTCCTAGGGTTAGAGGCAGATGCTTGGAATTTAGAGTGGTAGAAGGTGGCCTTAGCAGCAGAAACAGATGAAGAAAATGTAGAGAGGAGGGAGTGAAAAGATGCCAGGTCGGCAGGGAATTTAGTTTTCTTCCATTTCCGCTCCGCTGCCCGGAGCTCTGTTCTGTGAGCTCGCAATGAGTCATCAAGCCACGGAGCTGGAGGGGAGGACCGAGCCGGCCGTGAGGATAGGGGACACAGAGAGTCAAAGGATGCAGAAAGGGAGGAGAGGAGGGTTGAGGAGGCAGAATCAGGAGATTGGAGGGAGAAGGATTGAGCAGAGGGAAGAGATGATAGGATGGAAGAGGAGAGAGTAGTGGGAGAGAGAGAGCGAAGGTTGCGGCGGCGCATTACCATCTGTTGTAGGGGGCGGAGTGAGTAGTGTGGGAGGAGAGTGAGAGAGAAAAGGAAACAAAGTAGTGGTCGGAGACTTGGAGGGGAGTTGCAGTGAGATTAGTAGAGGAGCAGCATCTAGTGAAGATGAGGTCAAGCGTATTGCCTGCCTTGTGAGTAGGGGGGGACGGTGAGAGGGTGAGGTCAAAAGAGGAGAGGAGTGGAAAGAAGGAGGCAGAGAGAAATGAGTCAAATGTGGACATAGGGAGGTTGAAATCCCCCAAAACTGTGAGGGGTGAGCCATCCTCAGGGAAGGAACTTATCAAGGCGTCAAGCTCATTGATGAACTCTCCAAGGGAACCTGGAGGGCGATAGATGACAAGGATATTAAGCTTAAATGGGCTAGTGACTGTGACAGCATGGAATTCAAATGAGGAGATAGACAGATGGGTTAGGGGAAAAAATTGAGAATGTCCACTTGGGAGAGATGAGGATTCCTGTACCACCACCCCTCTGACCAGATGCTCTCGGGGTATGCGAGAACACATGGTCAGACGAGGAGAGAGCAGTAGGAGTAGCGGTGTTTTCAGTGGTGATCCATGTTTCCGTCAGCGCCAGGAAGTCGAGGGACTGGAGGTTGGCATAGGCTGGGATGAAGTCAGCTTTGTTGGCAGCAGAACGGCAGTTCCAGAGGCTGCCTGCGACCTGGAACTCCACGTGGGTGGTGCGTGCAGGGACCACCAAATTGGAGAGGCAGCAGCCACGCGGTGTGGTGCGTTTGTGTAGCCTGTGCAGAGAGGAGAGAACAGGGATAGGCAGAGGCATAGTTGACAGGCTGTAGCAAATGGCTACAAAAATGCAGAGGAGATCGGAATGAAATGGGCTAAGCATCTGGGAGTGGAGAGAGCAGGGCCTCCCTCACCAAATCTTCTAGCTCGGAAACTAAAATTGTTTCACTGAACCACCCGAACAAAAACTCTCCCAACTTCCGCCTTTGGAAATCAGAATTGTTGTGAACCACAGCGGTTCAATGTTTAAAGGAGTAGACTCAACCCACTTTGTTCAGCTAGCCAACTATGACTCCATAGCCAACTAGCAGACTAGCATCCAATAACAATAACACACCGTTTAGCGCCAACACTTGGTCACAACAAACCACCAATATTGTGATATCACACTAAACAGATCATTCGTGTCTGTGTCAAGTTCCTTATATGACGCAGCAATGATTAGACGTTGGCTAGCTAGGACAAGTAAATTGTGGTTAACTACTACAGTACAGCCAAATGGTCATGTTGGGTAGCTAGCAATGGCCACTGTGTCGACTCTGTTTGAAGAACGGCTAGCTAGCTAGCTTCGTGCTACAGCTGGCACGGCCGAGGACACTGCCAAGACACAGTAACTACCCACAACAACCCACGAAGCCTAGCTATGACGCCGTAGCCAACCTGCAAGCTAGCATCCATTAACACACAACTAGCATCAACACCTGGCCACAACAAACTGCCAAGAGTGTGTCAGCACACCAAACAGACAATTCAAGTCCGTGTCGAGTTCCCTTCACAACGCAGCAAAAAAAAATAATAATAATAATAATAATAATAATAATTAAACGTTGGAACCAGCTCTCCAGCGTTGCTAATCGTTACCAATAGCTACCCGCTAGCTAGCTAGCCTCATGCCTCGAAACTAACCCACAAATTACCCACGGAAAGCTACAATAACAACAATACTAACCTACAATAAATACAATACCTAACTACAGCTAACTACCTACCTACGATCTAATACATGGTTAAGCTTTACTCAACACTACATGTAGCTTACCCCTACTTACCTACTTACCTCCAGCCAGAGAAAAACACGTCAGTCTTCTTCACCTGTGGGATTGTCTGAGACCAGCCAGCCACCCGGGCAGCTGATGAAACTGTAGGTTTGCACAACCAAATAATTAATGCACAAACTGTCAGAGATACTGTGATGAGATCCTGAGGCCCATTGTCTTGCCATTCATCCACCGCCATCAACTCATGTTTCAGCATGATAATGCACAGCCCCAAGTTCGCAAGGATCTGCACACAATTCCTGGAAGCTGAACATGCCCCAGTTCTTCCATGGCCTGCATACCCACCAGACATGTCACCCATTGAGCATGTTTGGGATGTTCTGGATCCATGTGTACGACGGCGTGTTCCAGTGCCCGCCAATATCCAGCAACTTCGCACAGCCATTGAAGAGGAGTGGGACAACATTCCACTGGCCACAATCAACAGCCTGATCAACTCTATGCGAAGGAGATGTTTAACACTGCATGAGGGAAATAGTGGTCACACCAGATACTGACTGGTTTTCTGATCCACGCACCTACCTTTTTTGAAAAGGTATCTGTGACCAACAGATGCATATCTGTATTCCAAGTCATGTGAAATCCATAGATTAGGGCCTAATTTATTTATTTAAATTGACTGATTTTCCTTTATATGAACTGTAAAGTCTTTGAAATTGTTGCATGTTGCGTTTTTATATTTTTGTTCATTGTACATTATCAACCGTTCCCGTGTGAGTGAATCAGTCGCTCATCCGGATGAAACGGACCTTGGCTACTCTCACTCTGTCGCCAGACTCACCGCTAAACCAACACAGTTCATTATCTCAACTTCTCAACTGACCTTAGTGCAAGTTCAAACACATTCAAATGTATTGCTATATTTTAATATGACAAGTTGTTGTTAGTTACAAAGAGAAAAACCAATGCCCTTTATTACAAAACGTCATACTTGACAATGTAACTCATTCACTCTTCAAAGGTGGTGTGTTTTCTCTGTACTTGATGCAGTCTACCACCACGTTACCTGGCTATAGGAGTGTATCCTGCTCTGTGCTGTTAACGTTATCTTTCTGCCGCATGTATAACGTTAGTTCAATGTCCAGCCCTAACTTTGACTAACAAATGTACGTACCGCAGACGTCACTGTGTATGTTCAGTGTTTCTCAATGACATCTGCCCTTGAATGGAATCTATTGGAATCCAATGCTATATAGATGGGTATAGACCGGAATGGTTTGATGACAATGCATCCCTGTTTCCATATGTACGTAACTGAAGCAGTCGCTGTATTTAGAGGACTTTTTACATGGAGCAGTGAGATGAAAAATGTGTTGGTGACTATGTACGGTGCTGCTCTGTCTCCCCCTGTTGGCCAGTGAGGGACGTGGTGCATGACGTCAGACTGGGTTAAGGCATAGGGGTCAGGATTAGGGGTGGTGTTGGGGTACATTACATCACTGTGCTGCTCTGTCTCCCCCTGGTGGCCAGTGGGGGACATAACGAAGGACGTAAAGACAGGTGGAGAATCTCAATTGCATGTCCTTGATTCCTTGCGTCCTCTCTCCTCGCCTCCTTCTCAAAACCCCATTGGATGAGAAGGTCAGAAAAGAGACCCTCTGACCTTCTCATCCAATGGGTTTTGAGAAGGAGGCGAGGAGAGAGGACGCATTGGAATCAAGGAAATGCTATTAAGGTTCTTCCAGGGTTCTAAACATCAGACAGGGATATTCAGTCTGATAGAAGTCTGCCTAAAAAAGATGCAAGACTCTCTACAATCCAGAATGTTGAATAAAAGGATATTTACCCTTATTTTACCGGTTGTACGTGGTGTTGGTCCTTTTGGCGGTAGGAGGTGGAGAAAGGGTATCCACAGGAAAGTGTTGTTTACCCAACTTTTTGCGGCGTTGGTAGGTTCTGTCACTTGTATTTTTCAATCTCCTGATGCATTGCACAATATGTAAACAATAGCCCGAATGTAACCGAACGTAGTCGACCGAAGCACGTTTCGGGCGCAATCAGCTGGAAGGGTTTGTGAAATTTGCCAGCTGATTTGTGTTGGACAGTGTTCGGCTTCTGGTTCAGTTAGGCTCGCCAATATTGTGCAAGTGTTTGTCACATGCGAATTGTGTCAGTATTGAAAATACAAAACCGGAAAAACTAATGATATACAGACTAGCGTACTGAAGGTTGGGTTGATAACACTTCCCTGTGGATATTCTGTCTCAGATTACCTCTGACAAATTGAAATTAAATGGGACTGTTCGGGAATGCTGAGGTAGGGGTTAGGGTAGAGATGGGGGTAGATTAGAGGTAGGGCTAGGTTAGATGTAGGGGTTAGGGTATAGATGGGGGTAGGTTAGGGGTTAGGTTAGAGGTAGGGGTTACAGTAGAGATGGATGGAGGGAGGGTAGGGGTTAGGGTAGAGGTTAGGGTAGGGGTAGGTTATAGGTAGGAGTTAGGGTAGAGGTAGGGGTTAGGGGTAGGTTAGGGTAGGGGTTAGAGCTAGGGGGAGGTTTAGAGGTAGGGGTTAGGGTAGAGATGGGGTAGGTTGGGGTTAGGGTAGAGCTGGGGGTAGGTTAGGGTAGGGGTTGAGCTAGGGTAGGTTTTAGAGGTAGGGGTTAGGGTGGAGGTAGGGGTTAGGGTGGAGGTAGGGGTTAGGGTGGAGGTAGGGGTTAGGGTGGAGGTAGGGGTTAGGGTGGAGGTTTAGGGTTAGGGTGAGGTAGGTTAGGGTAGATGTAGGGGTTAGGGTGGAGGTAGGTTTAGTGTTGAGTAGGGGTTAGGGTAGAGTTAGGGTGTTAGGGTGTAGGTAGGGGTTAGGGTATAGATGGGGTTAGGTTGTAGGTGGGGTGGGTAGTTAGAGTAGGGTAGGGTAGGGGTAGAGATTAGGGTATGGTTAGGGGTTAGGTGGAGGTAGGGGTAGTAGGTAGGTTAGGTGTTGGTTAGGTAGGGTGTTAGGGGTAGATGGATGGAGGTAGGGGTAGGGTAGGTTAGGTGAGATGAGGTAGGGGTTAGGGTTAGGTTAGTGTTAGAAGATGGAGGTAGGGGTAGGGTTAGTGTGTTTATGGAGTTGTGTAGATGTGAGGGTATGGGGTAGGGGTAGGGTAGTGTTAGGGTATAGATGGAGGTAGGGGTAGGGTAGTGTTAGGGTAGAGGGTAGTGTTAGGGTAGAGATGGAGTTAGGGGTAGGGTAGTGTTAGGTTAGGATGGAGGAGGGTATGTAGGTTAGGGTTATGGGGTAGTTAGGGTGTTATGTTAGGGTAGAGATGGAAGTAGGGGTAGGGTAGTGTTAGGGTAGACTACGTCACTGTGCTGCTCTGTCTCCCCCTGTAGGCCATTGAGGGACATTGTGGATGACATCAGAAGGGGGAACTGGCTGAGGTTTGGAGCAGGAAAACTCAAGGAGCTCTGTAAACTACTGCCAGAGGAGGGAGAGGTAAGGAACTAACTAACCACACTCACTCCATCACCCTGTAAACACTCACTCCATCACCCTGTAAACACTCACTCCATCACCCTGTAAACTACTGCCAGAGGTGGGTTGAGGTGACAATGGCTGCGTTTTAGACAATTCTGATATTTTTCAGAGCTGATCTGATTGGTCAAAATACCCATTAGTGAAAAAAATAAATAAATGATCACAATTGAACTGTCATGTGTTTCTTTATGTTCCTTTGTATTTCTGACCCGGCTGCCTGTCTGACCCGGCTGCCTGTCTGACCCGGCTGCCTGTCTGTCTGACCCAGCTGCCTGTCTGACCCAGCTGCCTGTCTGACCCGGCTGTCTGTCTGACCCGGCTGCCTGTCTGACCCGGCTGCCTGTCTGACCCGGCTGCCTGTCTGACCCGGCTGCCTGTCTGTCTGACCCGGCTGCCTGTCTGTCTGACCCGGCTGCCTGTCTGACCCGGCTGCCTGTCTGACCCGGCTGCCTGTCTGACCCGGCTGCCTGTCTGTCTGACCCGGCTGCCTGTCTGACCCGGCTGCCTGTCTGACCCGGCTGCCTGTCTGACCCGGCTGCCTGTCTGACCCGGCTGCCTGTCTGACCCGGCTGCCTGTCTGATGGGACTAATGCTGTATTGTCTTCCCACCAGGTTAAGAAGCTACAGTCGTTCAGTGGAGACCTGACCCAGCTGTCTGATCCAGACCTCTTCATGGTGCTGCTGGTGAAAGTACCAGGGTGAGAAGAGTTCTGACGACGGTACTAGGTTGGGCTGGTTAAAGCACCTGGGTGTGAATGGGTTCATTGTGATGATGATGATGATGATGATGGTGTTGTCTATCTCTAGCTACGAGGAGCGTCTCAGGACTCTGATGCTGAGAGAAGAATTCTTCCCCCTGATGGATGAGATGAAACACTCCATCGCTGTCATGACTAAAGCAGCTAACGGTGACACACACACACACACACACACACACACACACACACACACACATATACAAACACATATACACACAGAAACACACACTGCTCCACCTCCATACCACTAGTTAATGCTCTCTCTGTCTCTGTCTCTCTCTCTGTGTCTCTCTCTCTCTCTCTCTCTCTCTGTGTCTCTCTCTCTCTGTGTCTCTCTCTCTCTCTCTCTCTCTCTCTCTCTCTCTCTCTGTGTCTCTCTCTCTCTCTCTCTCTCTCTCTCTCTCTCTCTCTCTCTCTCTCTCTCTCTGTGTGTCTCTCTTTATTTCTTTAAATTCAAAGGGGTTTTATTAGCATGGGGGAAACATATGTTTCCATTGCCAAAGCAAGTGAATAATAATTCTGTCTGTCTTTCTCCCTCAGAGCTGTTGGTCTGTGATGACCTCCACTCTATCATCCGGCTGGTGTTGAAGGCTGGGAACTACATGAACGCTGTACGGAACAATTCTCTACTACCAAGGCCTTACAAATACATACAGCGCCTTCGGAAAGTATTCAAACCCCTTGACTCTTTCCACATTTTGTTACGTTACAGCCTTATTCTAAAATGGATGACATTGTTTTTTTCCCCCTCATCAATCTACATACAATACTCCATAATGACTAAGCAAAAACAGATTTTTTGAAATCTTTGCAAATATATTTGTAAATAAAAACGGAAATATCACATTTACATAAGTATTCAGACCCTTTGCTCAGTACTTTGTTGAAGCACCTTTGGCAGCGATTACAGCCTCTAGTCTTCTTGGGTATGATGCTACAAGCTTGGCACACCTGTATTTGGGGAGTTTCTCCCATTCTTCTCTGCAGATCCTCTCAAGCTCTGTCAGGTTGGATGGGGAGCGTTGCTGCACAGATATTTTCAGGTCTCTCCAGAGAAGTTAGATCGGGTTCAAGTCCGGGCTCTGGCTGGGCCACTCAAGGACATTCAGAGACTTGTCCTGAAGCCACTCCTGCGTTGTCTTGGCTGTGTGCTTGGGTTCGTTGTCCTGGTGGAAGGTGAAACTTTGCCCCAGTCTGAGGTCCTGAGACCTCTGGAGCAGGTTTTGATCAAGGATCTCTCTGTATGTTTAAAAAAATATATTTATTTTAAATTTATAGGCGGCAGATCAGCTTTAATATTGCAGATAGATTGTAACTTCCATCAATGCAATTGTCTGCATCACTTCCATCTCTGTACTTTGCTCCGTTAATCTTTCCCTCGATCCTGACTAGTCTCCCAGTCCCTGCCGGTGAAAATCATCCCCACAGCATGATGCTGCCACCACCATGCTTCACCATAGGGATGGTGCCAGGTTTCCTCCAGACGTGACACTTGGCATTCAAGCCAAAGAGTTCAATCTTGGTTTCATCAGACCAGAGAATATTTTCTCATGGTCTGAGAGTCTTTAAGTGCCTTTTGGAAAACCATGCAGGCTGCCATGTACCTTTTACTGAGGAGTGGCATCCATCTGGCCACTCTACCATAAAGGCCTGATTGGTGGAGTGCTGCAGAGATGGTTGTCCTTCTGGAAGGTTCTCCCATTTCCACAGAGGAACTCTGGAGCTCTGTCAGAGTGATCGTCGGGTTCTTGGTCACCTCGTTGACCAAGACCCTTCTCCCCCGATTGCTCAGTTTGGCCGGGCGGCCAGCTTTAGGAAGAGTCTTGGTGGTTCCAAACGTATTCGATTTAAGTATGATGGAGGCTGCTGTGTTCTTGGGGACCTTCAATGCAGCAAACATTTTTTGGTACCCTTCCCCAGATTTGTGCCTCAACACAATCCTGTCTCGGAGCTCTACGGACAATTCCTTCGAACTCATGGCTTGGTTTTTGCTCTGACATGCACTGTCAACTTTGGGACCTTATATAGACAGTTGTGTGCCTTTCCTAATAATGTCCAATCAATTGAATTTACCACAGGTGGACTCCAATCAAGTTGTAGAAACATCTCAAGGATGATCAATGGAAACAGGAAACACCTGAGCTCAATTTCGTGTCTCATAGCAAAGGGTCTGAATACTTATGTAAATAAGGTATTTCTGTTTTCTTATTTTTAATACATTTCTTAAAACCTGTTTTCGCTTTGTCCATTATGGGGTATAGTGTGTAGATTGATGAGGGGGAAAAAATAATTTAATCGGTATCAGAATAAGGCTGTAATGTAACAAAATGTGGAAAAAGTCAAGGGGTCTGAATACTTTCCGACGGCACTGTATGTATTCTCTAATATCAAGGCCTTACTATATATCTGTATTCTCTATATCAAGGCCTTGTTTTCAAACTGCTTTTTAATGTCTATTAGTTAGCTCTGGATAAGTGTCTGTCTTATGAATGACTGAAGTGAAAATGTTATTGTGTGGTTGTTTATTCTGTATGTCGGCAGTGAACAGTAAACTGTTGTTTTAGGGTGGGTACGCTGGCAGTGCCATCGGTTTCAGGATGGCATCTCTACTAAAGCTGGCGGACACCAGGGCCAACAAACCTGGCATGAATCTCATGCACTACGTCACCATGGTGAGAGGGAGGGGTGGATGGGAGGGAGAGATAGATGGATGGGCATGGGGAGGGAGAGATCAAATCAATTTTTATTTGTCACATGCGCCAAATACAACAGGTGTAGACCTTACCGTGAAATTCTTACTTACAAGCCCTTAACCAACAATGAAGTTACGAAAATATTTACTAAATAAATTAAAGTTACAAAAATAATGTAAAAAGGAACACAAGAAAATTACATAACAATAACGAGGCTATATTCAGGGGTTACCGGTACCAAGTCAACGTGCGGGGGTACAGGTTAGTCGAGGCAGGGCAGGGGAGGGACAGATGGCAGGGCAGGGAATGGAGAGGGGGAGGGGGAGGGGGAGGTGAAAGGGAGGACAAGAGGGGAGAAAGGGATTAATATGAAAATATAAATGAAGACTATGTGAACGGATACATCCAGGCTCTGAGGATAACACATTAAAACATTCTACAATAACGATACTAACTCGCCCTCTATCTATCACAGCAAGCACAGGAGATAGACGTTGCCTTGTTGAACTTCCCCGAGCAGCTTGAACACATTGGGATGGCTGCAAAGTAGGCATACATTAATACCAGTTACTACCTTGGTCCTGTAATTCAAGTAATGTTTTTATTTGTTGTTTATTAATGGTTGCTCACAATGTAAAGAGCTTTTATGATTTCATGTTTTGTAAATGAAAAGCGCTCTACAAATGAAATGTATGATTATTTATTATTATCGGCTTGGAATACACGAAATGTTTTCTTATTGAGTTTGAGTGGGATAAAAATGTATTTACTGTGTCAGTAGATGTAGTAAGGTGGACGAAGTGGCACATACATTTTGAATTTATTATAAATGTGTTTTTACAGGGTGCACAGGCAGGAGGTGGAGGCAGACTTTCAGAGGGAGGCAGAGAAGGTGAAGCAAGCAAAGATGGACGCCAGCAGACAGCCTGAGCTACTGTTACAGATGGAGACCTTCCTCACGGTGAGAGATGACCAGCACACACACACACACACACACACACACACACACACACACACACACACACACACACACACCTTTTCTCCGTGACCTGTTTTAGTTTATAAGTCCATCCCTGTTGTATAGTGTGTTACTGTGAGTCAATATCCTGGACATTTTGAAATGTTACGTTATCGGTGACCATTTATGTTTAGTTTTATATTGCTTGAGTGTAAAAGCACTGGATGACTGAGGAGAATGCACTTCTCTGCCCCATATAGTCTGTATCTCACATAATTACTGGCCTTCTGGACATTTTTGTTGAAGTGAACTTAGATTTTACAGTGAATGTGGTTGACAACATTTAACCATAAAACTAACGCATGAGTTGTACCCGTAGTGTTCTCTCTCCCACTCTGCTGTTATGTATCTCAAACACTTGTCTGTCAGAGGTCAGAGGGCGGAGGTCAGGCTGGCTGATGGACCTCTACTCTGTTCTAATGCTGTTTTCAACCCCAGTAGTCTTCCTGTAACCTAGTGATCTGACTGTAGAACTCTCTTTTCACTTTCTCTCTCTTTTCACTTTCTCTCTTTCTCTCTTTCTCTCTTTCTCTCTTTCTCTCTCTCTCTCTTTCTCTCTCTCTCTCTCTCTCTCTCTCTCTCTCTCTCTCTCCGTCTGTCTATCTTTCTGTGTCTCTCCGTCTGTCCGTCTGTCTGTGTCTGTGTCTGTGTCTGTGTCTGTCTCTCTCTGTCTGTCTCTCTCTGTCTGTCTCTCTCTGTCTGTCTCTCTCTGTCTGTCTCTCTCTGTCTGTCTCTCTCTGTCTGTCTCTCTCTGTCTGTCTCTCTGTCAGAGGGCGGAGGCCAGGCTGGCTGACCTACAGGCCTGTCTGTTTGACCTCAACTCCCTGAGCCAAGCTGTAGCAGAGTACTTCTGTGAAGACCCAGCCACGTTTCAACTGGAGGTGTGCTGCTCCATATTCTCTTCTTTCTGTGAGCGCTTCAACAGGGCTGTTCAGGTGAGACTAGACTGAACACATTAGGTTTGCAGAATTCCTCACATTTTTCCCCAAATGCAATTTTTTTTCCAGAAATCCTGGTTGTCCTGCTTATTCCTTCATAATTCCAGGAATCTTCCAACCAGGATTTCTGGGGAATTTGGGGAAAGTTAACTTGGATTTTGTATGTATTTTTTTTATAGTACTACTGATATTGATTACTGTATTGTTGGGAAAGAGCAAGCCTCGGTGACATGTTAACACATGATGAAGAAGAATCAGCAACAGTCCGATGTTCCTACAGAATATAGTGGTCTTCCCAGTGACAGGCAATGCCCACTGTCCATCTGTCCACATTTAGTTTAATATCTGTGCACTCAAACACAACCAACTCTATGTTTTAGCCACTTCACACATCGCACGCTCTCACACCCTTCCATCTTCTCTCTCTCTCCTCCTCTCTTTTCCTCCCCTTGCCTCTCTCTGACCCCATCCCTCTCTCTCTCCTCTCCTCTCTCCGACCCAATCCCTCTCTCTCTTCTCTCCTTTCTCTGACCCCATCCCTCTCTCTCTCCTCTCCTGTCTCTGACCCCATCCCCCTCTCTCTCCTCTCCTGTCTCTGACCCCATCCCTCTCTCTCTCTCCCTCTCTCTCCTCTCCTCTCTCCGACCCAATCCCTCTCTCTCTCTCTCCTCTCTCTGACCCATCCCTCTCTCTCTCCTCTCCTGTCTCTGACCCCATCCCTCTCTCTCCTCGCCTCTCTCTGACCCCATCCCTCTCTCTCCTCGCCTCTCTCTGACCCCATCCCTCTCTCTCTCTCCTCTCCTGTCTCTGACCCCATCCCTCTCCCTCTCTCTCTCCTCTCCTGTCTCTGACCCCATCCCTCTCTCCCTCTCTCTCTCCTCTCCTGTCTCTGACCCCATCCCTCTCTCTCTCCTCTCCTCTCTCTGACCCCATCCCTCTCCCTCTCTCTCTCCTCTCCTCTCTATGACCCCATCCCTGTGTCTCTCCTCCCCATCAGGAGAACCGTGAGCGTGAGGCAGCCGAGCTGAGACGCAGGCAGAGGGAGAGGTTCTGTAACGTGGCCAAGCGTCGCTCCACTGCCACCTGCTCTGACCTGGACCCCCACCTATGTCTGGAGGCCTCCGGCCCTGGTTCCGCAATGGAGTCTATCCTCCACAACTTCCTGACCACCATACGCCCCAGGGGTCTGGCAAGGCGCAGACACCACCACCACCTCCCCCCCGGGATGTTGTCCCCCATCGGGGGCTCGCCCATCGAGCCCTGCCCCCAGTCCAACCCCCTGGCTGATGAGCCAGAGACTGGAGCTGGACCAGGGTCTAGGCGTTATGCCAGCCCAGGAGGGAGCACCCTGGGTGGGGAGGCAGGTGTGCTGACACCCCTGAAGGACCAGGAGGACCAGGGGCAGAGGGAGGAGAAGAGTGGGGAGGGCTGGCCCAGAGAGCTGTGTAGCCCTGCTGCGGTGGTCGAGAGGTTGGATGGGGAGATTGAGGAAGAGGACTATGACTCCTATCTGGACCCCAATTCAGAGATGTGTGAGCAGGAGGAAGAGGAGGAGAAGGAACACGAGGGGGAGACGGCGACCCCTGTGGACCAGTGGAGATGTTTTGGGTCAAAGAGAGCCTCGTCCATTGACCAGAAACTGACCCCTAAGAGCTGTGGCCGCCGTAGCCTGTCCCCTCGCCAACACGCACCCCACACCCAGAAGGAGGAGAGGAGAGTGGGCAAGGAGGAGAAGGAAGAGGTGGAGAGGATGCGTGAGGTGTCCAGGAAGATGCTTCACTACCAGACCGGCCGAGGCAGGCTATCTGGTGACCTACAACATCCTGGACTGCCAGAGTTGGGCGGCACTACCCCTCAACGCGCCACACCTCACCCTCTCCACCCCCGCCCTGTCTCTCAACCCTCCACCCCAGGTCATCGCTCCTGCCCTACCCCACAGCCCTCCACCCCTCGCCACAGGGAGATGAGAGAGGTAGACCTGGCTCTCTATAACAGCATGGGGAACCTGGGCTCCCCCTGGACCATCCTCAGCCCCAGCGTCTCTCCCCAAAACCACACCCCGTACCACACCGCCCACCGACGACACTCCTTCTCCGCCCCCAGTGCCGATGATGGCCTTGACGACGGCGTCTGGTCATTGCCCCGCACCCCCACCCGCCCTTCCACCCCTACCCACCCTTCCACCGCCACCTGCCCCCCTCTGGTGCTGCTGGGGAGGATGAGGGCTATGGAGGGGCACCCTGGACCCTCAGACCTCCAGGGAGAGGCAGGGAGGGGGCCCATGTCCCTGCCTGACTGCCCCAGTCAGAGAGCTCTGTCCCAGGGCCCCGTGCTTCGCTCTCTCTCCTTGGATGAGACTGGAGGGAGCCAGGCTCCAGGATTAATCTTCCGCCTGGGGGACCTGTTCCAGAGACGCAACGCACTGTTGGCCCCGGCTGTGGCTGAGGCTGGTGGTGGTGCTAGGGCTGGTGCTGAGATGGGGTTTGCTACAGAGGCTCTGAAACCCTTGGAGAGGCAGAACAGTAGCTCTGGGATTGTGTCTTTCTTCAGACGCTTTGGGGAGCGGAGACGAGCCAGCTTGGAGGAACAGGACTCCAGAGGAACAGATACTTAACCAGGGAAGGAGGGAGGGGAGGATGGGGGGGGGAGGGTTTGTGTCTTTTTAGAAAAGTATTTGTGTTGATATCATTTTATTTAAAGTGAGCTACTCCTATTTGAGAGTGTGACCGCTATTTTAATGAACAGCCCAAGGTAAACATGGACCTTTCTGTCTCTGTGGGGCTGGGAGAAGGCTTATTGTTTTAAAACTGTTCCAAATAGTACCCTATTCCCTACATAGTGCACTACTTTTGACCAAAGCCTCACAGGCCCCGGTCAAAAGTAGTGCACTTCATAGGGAATAGGATGCCATTTGAGAGGCACAGTAAGTGAACCACGTATGCACCTCACGCCTCTTTTAATTATTCACAGATCAGATAAAAATTGTCTTTGTACAAGACAAAATACAGTTCTCCTTCAATGTGTACACAATCTCAGGTATAGTGTGGAACACATGGGGTACAACAGAATATACTACCATCACCATCTTTTAATTAGTTATCTTAAGTGTCATATTTTATGTAATAAAGTGTTTTCCTATCTCAGCCTTATTTTGTCTTTGGTCTCCCTCACAGTTAATAGAATAATATATGCAATTTACCAGACAATTTGATCCAAAGTGACTTACAGTCATGCGTGCATGCATTTTTAACGTATGGGTAGTCCCGGGATCCGAACTCACTATCCTGTTGTTGCAAGCACCAAAGCTGGGGAACAATAGTATGTTAATAAGGGGGAGAAGAAAAGGGAGGAAACCATTAGGAGAAAGGAGAAGGGAAGACTGGAGGGTTCTTCATAATGTGTTTTGTTCATGATTTTAATTATGATAAGCTGAAAAACAATCAATGTTGTTTTTTCTCCTGTGGTTGAGGCAGTGGAAGAGTGGATCCGAAGTCCCCAGTTTGAATCCCACCTCAGCCAGAAATAACATTTCTAAACAACCACTATAGTCTCCAGGTGTTATTATTTTTCACATTGGTGAATTTAAGATCACCTGAGTTAATGGAAGGATAATGGACCTGAGTTAATGGAAGGATAATGGACCTGAGTTAATGGAAGGATAATGGACCTGAGTTAATGAAGTTATAATGCCAGAGAAGCCGGTGTTCGGAGGATATATTGGCAAGCCGTGCCAATAAATCCTCCAAACACCAGCTTTGAGGGCATTATCACTTTTATACAACGGGTTACCAACATATTCAAATAATGATTTACATATTTTCAGTAAAAACGTTATTTTTATGAATTTATTCATACTATTTCCTCCTTCCACAAGATATAGTCCCGACACAAATCTAGGGTTGCTACCCAAGCCGGCTGGTTGTTCGTTCTATCGGTTTGGTTGCTAGAGACGCGACCCAGTCGTTCAGTCTTTTTGTTCTGTATCTATGGACGTTCGTTCTAAATGTTCCATTGCCATACTGGCTGGCAAAGGTCTTATCCCTTGCTTGCTAGCTAGCCAACTACGGCTAATTTATGGTCACGTCAAAAACTGCAGCCAGAATAACAGCAAAGCAGCTGCATTTGCATTTTTCGTTTAAGCTGTTTTCTAGTGATATTTATTTGGATACATCCATAACGATGAGCTAATGAGGCGCGATTTCTCCTGGCATAGAGAATGTGCTCTCTCGTCAGGACACTTGTTCACAGAGGAGCTAGCCAACAACACAGCGAACACAATCACTTCAAACTGAAGCTGGAAAGACTGCAAACTAGCTGCACTTCATTTTGTTTTACATTTTTCAATTGACGTTTATTTGAATATATCCATACAAATGATGCCAGCTTATCCATGATTTCGACTGGCTGAGAAACGCTGCCTGCCTGTCTGTCTCGTCCCGACTCCCAACACGTTCATTACTATGGGACAGCTGGAGATAGAATTTGAATATTGAAACAATGTTGCAAATGTCGGAGAGACAGACAGCAAGGTTTATACAAATCTCCGCTGTTGAAAACTAAATGTTAGTCTAAAAGAAATGGGAGATAATGTCTGGATACTTTTTATAGTACAGATCAAGTTTATAAATTGCCTGGCTGGTCTGATGAGACAGTGGATTGCGCAGTCAGATGGAACAGAGTAAATAGCCATTTTAACGTCATAGATTTAGCCGGTGGTAACTTGTGGAATAGACACTGGCTGGAATGCAGTTTTAACCAATCAGTATTCAGGATGAGACCTACCTGTTGTATAAAGGACCTGAGTTAATGGAAGGATAATGGACCTGAGTTAATGGAAGGTTAATGGACCTGAGATAATGGAAAGATAATGGGACCTGAGATAATGGTAGCATAATCATAAAATATAGAAGTGTTGTTCTAATGAGGTTGGTTTATTACTGTACTATACTCCCATTACCTTGTTTATGCAATTAGTATCTTAAATGATCTGTTGCGGTTTCTTGTGGACAGCATATTACCTGACAATTATAAATACATCACATCCCACTGGACACAGGTGTCAATTCAACGTAATTCATTGAAATTACGTGGAAACAATGTTGATACAACCAGTGGTATTTACGACAATTTACTCAGCGAGACGTACTGTATATTAGTAATTAAAAGCGAAGAATGATTGACCTACAATCAGAAGTCATTGAAAGAATTGGTTGAAATATAGAAACATGTTTGCCCAAGGTAATGAGTGGGTTTGGCAACTGACTGATTCTGAATGAATGACACAACGGGATCCAAACAAATGCCACCATCCATCAATCAGATTAGCGTTGGTCGACACCTGCATAGCGGTTGTTATGGCGGCGTCGGAGGTGGAACTGTGTTAAAGCGGTCAAATCCCAAGCAGCTCCTTGTGTTACCTTATCGCCTATAATAATAATAATAATAATATGCCATTTAGCAGACGCTTTTATCCAAAGCGACTTACAGTCATGCGTGCATAAATTTTTACGTATGGGTGGTCCCGGGGGTCGAACCCACTACCCTGGCGTTACAAGCGCCGTGCTCTACCAATTGAGCTACAGAGGACCACAGGGGCCTACACTTCCACTGGATGCAACGAGACCACCCGACTTTATATCCGACAAATCCCAAGCAGCCGCGTTACAAAGTTCAAACACTTGAATGCGTGAGGTTCTATTTTAGCCCCCCCATTATTCAAATTAACATGACAATTATTCACTAGCCTACACTTTCTATCGGCGTTATGACCTTTTGACCCGGTAGGGATAATAACCCACAGGGCACAGACATCAATTCAACATCTATGCCACGTTGGTTCCGCGTCATTTCATTCAAATGACGTGGAAACATATAGATTTAGATTTAGATTTAAGTCATTTAGCAGACGCTCTTATCCAGAGCATATCAAATCAAATCAAATTTTATTGGCCACATGTGCCGAATACAACAGGTGCAGACATTACAGTGAAGTGCTTACTTACAGCCCTTAACCAACAGTGCATTTATTTTTTTTAAATAAAAAAGAGAAGAGAAAAAAAGAGCAGAAGTCAAATAAAATAACAGTAGGGAGGCTATATACAGGGGGGCACCGGCTAGTTGATTCAACCAGTCTGTACCCAGTGGGAAGGAAGGGAGTTGTTTGTGACACACGAGCAACCGCAGGTTGAAAATGCAGGGCCTGAAAATGAAAAAGACAACAAAATTCAAAACAAGACAACAATAGATTAATATGATTTCTTACAATATCTTCATCATATCAGAACACATAGTTTGGTTTATGTTTTAATGGATGTAATGATATTAGGCCAGGTAGTCTTCACAGAGGCTGTAGCAGAGGGGGTCTGGGAGAACGGCCAGGTGGTCTTCAGAGGCTGTAGCAGAGGGGGTCTGGGAGAAAGGCCAGGTGGTCTTCACAGAGGATGTAGCAGAGGGGGTCTGGGAGAAAGGCCAGGTGGTCTTCACAGAGACTGTAGCAGAGGGGGTCTGGGAGAAAGAACAGGTGGTCTTCAGAGACTGTAGCAGAGGGGGTCTGGGAGAAAGGCCAGGTGGTCTTCACAGAGGCTGTAGCAGAGGGGTTCTGGGAGAAAGGCCAGGTGGTCTTCAGAGACTGTAGCAGAGGGGGTCTGGGAGAAAGGCCAGGTGGTCTTCACAGAGACTGTAGCAGAGGGGGTCTGGGAGAAAGAACAGGTGGTCTTCAGAGACTGTAGCAGAGGGGGTCTGGGAGAAAGGCCAGGTGGTCTTCACAGAGACTGTAGCAGAGGGGGTCTGGGAGAAAGAACAGGTGGTCTTCAGAGACTGTAGCAGAGGGGGTCTGGGAGAAAGGCCAGGTGGTCTTCACAGAGACTGTAGCAGAGGGGGTCTGGGAGAAAGAACAGGTAGTCTTCAGAGACTGTAGCAGAGGGGGTCTGGGAGAAAGGCCAGGTGGTCTTCACAGAGACTGTAGCAGAGGGGGTCTGGGAGAAAGAACAGGTAGTCTTCAGAGACTGTAGCAGAGGGGGTCTGGGAGAAAGGCCAGGTGGTCTTCACAGAGACTGTAGCAGAGGGGGTCTGGGAGAAAGAACAGGTGGTCTTCAGAGACTGTAGCAGAGGGGGTCTGGGAGAAAGTCCAGGTGGTCTTCAGAGACTGTAGCAGAGGGGGTCTGGGAGAAAGGCCAGGTGGTCTTCACAGAGACTGTAGCAGAGGGGGTCTGGGAGAAAGAACAGGTGGTCTTCAGAGACTGTAGCAGAGGGGGTCTGGGAGAACGGCCAGGTGGTCTTCAGAGACTGTAGCAGAGGGGGTCTGGGAGAAAGGCCAGGTGGTCTTCAGAGACTGTAGCAGGGCTGGAGAGGGACCGGGAGAAAGGGAAATGGTAACCTTTAATATGAACATTATTTGAATATAAACAGTATTAAAAACAAATCTATGTAATCAAACAAGCTCTTGACAGGTGAAGCTATATAATATTTACTCGAACAGGCTTCCTATGCACATCATGGATCCGTAATAAATACAAATACAAATTCGGAAATGGTTTTTTTGCACGGCTGTGTCTCAATTGACCCCCTCCGCCAATGGCGGCCTTCTGCGGTGGAAGGTGGCCGAGCTACATCTGT